CCTCTCATTGGTCAGAGGCAACCCGTGGCCTCTCATTGGTCAGAGGCAACCCGTGGCCTCTCATTGGTCAGAGGCAACCCATGGCCTCTCATTGGTCAGAGGTCTCCCCAACAGCCGCTCTGATTGGACGAGAAGTCCCCCACGCCCCCCCCTCGCGTTCCTGTTTGCGGCCATTCGTGATTTAAAAGAGAGGGGGGGGGGGGGGCTGTGGCAAATTGTCTGAGTATTAATTATTAACATTTTTTTTCTAAAACACGAAACAGGGCTAGGATCGGTGGGACCGGGACCGTTTCTTTTCAAATGGAACCAATTAGGTTGTAGATGCGGGGGTCGTCTGTAATTAGTATTATGATGTCTGTCTGTCTTTCCGACAGACCTGTTCTTCACCTGAGGACGGCTGCTTGCGTTGTGGCCGAAACGTCGTGAGAATTGTTTTATTATGTTTTATTCTTAGTATTTTATTATTTCCCTTCTATGTGACTTTACCCAAAGAACCAAGAAGATGAATCCCTTCAGTCACAAAAGCTTTAAATCGAAAAATTGTTGTTGTTGTTTGTTTATTCATGAAACAATATTTCATAATGATCATTCCTGAACTATCAGTATCCGAAATACGATCCGGGCGTTCGTCGCCGCCGGCCCACCTGGACAGGTTACCAACTGTCGCCGTGGCTTCCGGTGATGGAGCTTCGATCGTTGCTCCGTCCTCTTCCTCGCTTACCAGAGGTCGCAAACGGGTTTTGATTCCTTACCCGTACCCGTACCCGGCCGCACCAGGGTCGCAAACGGGTACCCGTACCGGGTATCGGGTAGGGTACGGGTATCGGGTACCTGATTGCGACCTCTGGGATGAAGCCATGTTGCAGGCGCGGGTGGGTTGATTCTAGGAACTTGAATTGTGAGAAGAGACAAGACGTTGGGAAATGAGTGACAAACGGTGACTCACCAATGACTCACGGTCTACCCGTACCCGTACCCGGCCGCACCAGGGTCGCAAACGGCTACCCGTACCCGTACCCGGCCGGGTACGGGTAGCCGGGTATCGGGTAGGGTACGGGTATCGGGTACCCGGTTGCGACCTCTGTCGCTTACTCTCCTCTGACTGCGACCGAGCCCGAGCGGTGACTTCAACGGGTTTCTTCAAGTGGGCCACTAATGGACAACCGGATCCCACGCATAACCCCCTTGCTCTCTATGAGCCCGGCTCACGATGACAGGTACTCACATTTGCTGTGGCTTCTAGTGATGGTCCTTCAATCGTTGCTCCTTCATCTTCCTCTGCTCGCTCCGGGCACTAACTCCCTGCGCGGGAACGAGCCCCGTTCCTCAAGTGGGCCGATAAACGGACAACCTGATCCCCCGAACAACCCCAGTGCCCTCTATCAGTACTAAAACAACAACAACAACAAAACACAAAAGTGTTTGGTTTGCCATGCTGACCTCCGTCTCTTCGCCAAGTACAACACAGTCCCCCCGGGGGGTTTGCGGAAGAATCCCAGACCCACGGAAATCCGAACCTTGTGGACATGCTCCCCGCCCCGCCCCACACACCATTCCCCATGAATCGTGTTAGAAATAAGTATAACCAGTAAAAACAAAGTTTTTCACTCTAAATCCTTTATATGCGTGGCGGCTAGAGTCCTCTCGTCCTCTGGCTTGAGATGGCTGCCACCTATGGGTCAGATGATTGTCTGCCAGTATTAAGCAATTGGTAATTAAATATTTAATTAGTTTTCCCTAAACAGTGTAAAATTTTGGAACAAAAAATTCACGAAAATTAATTGTCACACACAACGAGTCTGTGTGGAAAATGTCAGCTCGATTGGATCACGGGAAGTGGGTTAAAAAACGAGCGAAAGATTTGCACGGTCCTAAGCAAGCAAGCGAACTTAATATAAAGGATTAAAAAATGTATTCGCCTGTGGAGGACGCGGGGATCGATCCCGCGACCTTTGGCATGGGAAGCGAGGGCGCTACTAACTGCGCTACTCCGCCATGGCCTGTGGAGGGGTTACGCTCTGGGCTCTTGCACTGTGACGTTCAGCCAAAGCGATAAATGAGTTCTATTTGAATATATGTAAAATAAAAAAAATTTTGCCTAAAAAGTGTAAAATTTTGGGATTTTTTTTTCACGAACAATAATTGTCTGGCACAACGAGTCTGTGTGCAAAATGTCAGCTCGATTGGATCACGGGAAGTGGGTTAAAAAACGACCGAAGGATTTGCACGGTCGTAAGCAAGCAAGCAAGCACGCAAGCAAGTGAACTACATTTAAAGGATTTAAAAAATAAAAAACTTCGTGTGCTTCTCGATGCGTCAGCGCAAACAGCAGGCCGCGGGGTGAGGTTGCGGGTCAATGCCATGGGATTTTCTGCCCTCACGCCTCGCTCGAGCTTCGCAATGGGAAAGGCAAATTGACTTAATCTTTGATCTTGGGGGGGTGGGGGAGGGATTGATCAGTTTCCGGCAGATGGAAAATTCGAGGTTACAGATCGTTCTCGTGGAACCTAACCCCACACATGTTAACCCATGATCAGTGCCCTACATTATTACAGACCGATTCAGACCTTATTGGTCACCCCGTGTATTTTGTAGTCGTGTATTGTATAGTAGTGTAGTGTATAGTAGTGTAGTGTATAGTAGTGTAGTGTATAGTGTAGTGTAGTGTATAGTAGTGTAGTGTTATGCAGTGTAGTGTATAGTAGTGTATAGTAGTCGTGTATTGTATAGTAGTGTAGTGTATAGTAGTCGTGTATTGTATAGTAGTGTAGTGTATAGTAGTCGTGTATTGTATAGTAGTGTATAGTAGTGTAGTGTATAGCAGTGTAGTGTATAGTAATGTATAGCAGTGTAGTGTATAGTGTAGTTTATATCAGTGTGTAGTGTATAGTGTAGTGCATCGTAATGTATATTGTAGTGTATAGTAGTGTAGTGTATAGTAGTGTAGTGTTTAGTAGTGTAGTGTATAGTAGTGTAGTATATAGTGTAGTGTATAGTAGTGTAGTGTATAGTAGTGTAGTGTATAGTAGTGTATAGTAGTGTAGTATATAATGTAGTGTATAGTAGTGTATAGTAGTGTAGTGTATAGTGTAATGTGGTGTATAGTGTAGTGTATAGTAGTGTATAGTGTAGTGTATAGTAGTGTAGTGTATAGTAGTGTAGTGTGTATAGTAGTGTAGTGTATAGTGTAGTGTATAGTAGTGTATAGTAGTGTAGTGTGTATAGTAGTGTCGTATATAGTAGTGTAGTGTATATAGTAGTGTAAAGTGTAGTGTAGAGTAGTGTATCGTAGTGTAGTGTAGATAGTAGTGTAGTGTATAGTAGTGTGGTGTATAGTAGTGTAGTGTATATAGTAGTGTATAGTGTAGTGTATAGTAGTGTATAGTGTAGTGTATAGTAGTAGTGTATAGTAGTAGTCCAGTACATATCTTTCAACCCCTTATCAGTGCCCTTACCTTGTCACAGACCAATTCAATCCATATTGGTCACCACGTACCTCTCTAAAATCTCAACGTTCATCCTGCAAAGTCGCGTGATCACAAGGCAGAAACACAAACAAATACACCCGAATATTTTTGTTGACCGCATTGAAAAGGCTCTACGTCGGATGGACCCGGAAACTCAATTCCTCCTGCACAAGAATACGGGGTCAAACCTGTATGGGTTGACACGGCACGTAAACAACTTTTATAACCGACTGTACATCTGGATAAACCGGCCCTCTTCGCTGGGAGGTGACTGAATGGATCCGATTCCAGAGGAGTCTCGGACTTGGGCTTTGAACGTTGGTCAATGAGCCTTGGGGGCTCCAGTTTTATCTCCGTTGATTGCACCGCAGAAGAATGAAAGTGAAAAGTTATTAAGTTTCTAATCACATACCTGCATTTCCCATTAATATGCTAAATTCCTCTTGATATGCAAATTCTTTTGTCAAGGCGCCCCCCTTTCAACCCAGCTTATATATATGCTCCAAGCTCGTGTGCTGTTTCATTCAGACGCTGTCGCCTCGACAGACCTGGTCTTCACCTGAGGACGGCTGCTTGCGTTGTGGCCGAAACGTCGTGAGAATAATTTTATTATGTTTTATTTTTATTATTTTATTACTTCCCTTCTACGTGACTTTACCGAGAGAACCAAGAAGATGAAAAGTAATTTAAAAGGAAGCGTTGTAACTGGTCAGGAGGATTTCGATTTAAAGCTTTTCGTGACTGCAGGGATTCATCTTCTTGGTTCTTTCGGTAAAGTCACGTAGAAGGGAAATAATAAAATAATAAAAATAGAACAATACAATTCTCACGACTTTTCGATTGCAACACAAGCAATCATCATCAGCTGTGAAAACCACAGCAAGAACATTTTTCGTTGCTTGTGTTGCAATCAAAATGTCGTGAGAATTTTATTGTTTGATTTTTATTATTTTACGATTTCCCTTCTACGTGACTTTACCGAAAGAACCAAGAATATGGTGAGGAAGAGTTATGGACCCATTGTGTCAGCACGGTCGGCAAACATAGGACAAAGTTTGAATTCGCCTACTTTAGATTGCACACACACACAAAAAGTTCATTAGCGAATGCTCAGTGCATTCGTCTACTTCGTTCGAATGTCAACCCAATAAATTTCGATTTAAAGCTTTCGTGACTGCAGGGATTCATCTTCTTGTTTGTTTCGGTAAAGTGACGTAGAAGGGAAATAATAAAATAATAAAAATAAAACAATATAATTCTCACGACGTTTCGGCCACAACGCAAGCAGCCGTCCTCAGATGAAGACCAGGTCTGTGACAGCGTCTGAATTTGCTGTCTTTCCGACAGACCTGGTCTTCACCTGAAGACGGCTGCTTGCGTTTTGGCCGAAACGTCGTGAGAATTATATTATAATGTTTTATTTTTATTATTTTATTATTTCCCTTCTACGTGACTTTACCGAAAGAACCAAGAAGGTAAACCCAACAAGCAGGCAGACACACGCAGACAGAGAGGCAGACAGACAGACAAAAATAATGTCATGTATTTATTAGATTGCAGATCCACACAACGTGATAATGAAAGCAATGAGACTCCTCATGCACGATATAATATCACACATTTCTGAATCACGTAATCAAGTTACCCTCTGGGATATTGCCACGTGACCCCCTCGGACACTGCCACGTGACCCAATGGGACACGGCCACGTGACCCCCTGGGACACTGCCACGTGACCCCCGGGGATACTGCCACGTGACCCCCTGGGAAACATGCCACGTGACCCCCTGGGACAAATGCCACGTGACCCCCTGGGACACATGCCACGTGACCTCCTCGGACACATGCCACGTGACCCCCTGGGACACATGCCACGTGACCTCCTCGGACACATGCCACGTGACCCCCTGGGACACATGCCACGTGACCCCCTGGGGCATTGCTACGTGACCCCCTGGAGTCAGCAACGTCTTCCCCCTTGTTGAGAACCCGTGTGGAGTAGGTGGTGAACATGTCAAACTAACGTGGAACTAATTCGAGCAGCTTCCGTCTAACTACAGGCAGTCCTCTACTTACGACGGAGATGCGTTACGATGACCCCATCGTAAGTCAAAAAAATCGTAAGTCGAAGATGGCCTATAGCCTAGCCAGGAGGCTTAAAGAACGGTGATAATTTAGCAAACCAGGGCATTTTACAATAGCGTACTGTATAAACTAGATACTGTGTGTATGTATTAATTACAATACTGTATTGCACAGTCAAATGTGAAGTTAAAAAACAGGTACATTCTTAGCCTATACCTATATGAACTGCAATTTAATAGAAAGTTTTTTCAGGAAACAATCCAATCTGCTATAAAAAAAAAAAACGTTTAACATGCATTGAACGTGTCGTATCGTGGTAACCCTAAAATGAAATCTCTGAAGCTACGTATCACACCATGCGTTGAACGTATCGTAACCTATCATGTTGTAGAGGCATCACCACACAAGGCGCGAGATGGGTACATCCTGGCAGCGTCCCAACGTACAAGAATCGTGACTTGTACGCTGCTGCATTTGCCTGCCGCGAGAAATTTAAAATATTTTCCAAGTTTGTCGTATCGCCATCGTAAGTTGGACCATCGTAAGTCGGGGACTACCTGTATGTTTACCACCACCACCACCACCATCAAACAAAGACAAAGATCCCACGTATATTCTAGATTTGAAGCTTTCGTGACTGCAAGGATTCATATTCTTAGGTTTTTTCGGTAAAGTCACCGTGTAGGTAAAACATCAAAATTAATGAAAATAAAATAAAAAATCACGACGTTTCGGAGGCAACACAAACGTCGTGATTTTTATTTTATTTTATTTTCATTAATTTTGATGTTTTACCTACGCGACTTTACCGAAAAAATCTAAGAATATGAATCCCCCGTATAGCCCTGACAGGACGTACGGCGCTAAAGATGTTCAGCATACGTCATCACCACGACTAGCGCCACCGTCAGCACCCGCCACGAGCAAAGACAAAGATCCCCCGTGTAGCCTGAACAGACTGCAGGGGCAAGTGCTGTTAGCGAGCACCTATGAAGGCCGGCACAGCACACGAGGGGGTGGGTGGCCAGCACCACGCCCGGCCGCCTTTGTCTCCCTAGTGACGGTGGCTACACATCGCACCAGATACTCATTTGAGGCCGAGTCGACCTAGGGGAGGCCCAGGACCGGTTCAGATGAATGTGTTGGCCGTGAGCGCGAATCGAACTCAAGTCCCCGGGTTTGTAGCGCAGCGTAGTGCTAACCACTACACCCACCGCTCCTCACCACTAGCACCACCATCACCACCCACAACCACCACAGCCATCACCACTATTAGCACCACCACCATCAACACCACCACTATCAACAACAACAACCGCCATTCGCCACTAAGCAGCGGTGACGTCACCACGGCGCTTGTGCCAGGCTATGTGTACGCTGAGGCCACGTGAAGTGTCCAACACCCGCTGGCAGGAGGTCACAGGGCAGACCCAGCAGGTGCCACAGGTCGACTGACTGAGATGACTGGCTGATGCACCACCTGTGCCCCCTACTGTGCCAACTTGCTGTGCTTTAGCCACCTGGTGCTCCGCTCGTTGTTGTGAGCATCGCTCCTCCCCCCTCCGTTGTTGTTGGAGGGCGACTGCCTTCCAACTGCCCAGTAGCGTCCTTCACGAGCCTCCTCCACTGAGGCCGATCTTGACACCGCTGGTACCAGTCATTGGCAAGTCCACTTAGCTCCAAATCCTCCTGTACCACATCACTCCATCTCTTCTCTAGCCCGTGCTGCGTCCATTTAGCCCCTACGATCCGGCCGAACAAAAGCTGTTTAGGCATGCGGTGACTGGGCACTGCGGGCTACATGACCCAGCCAACGCAGCCTTGCCTGCCGGAGGAGCTCACCGATGGGACTTTGTCCAGATCTTTCAAGGATATGTGAGCTATTCACACAATCCAGCCTGGTTAAACCCATGATGGATCCTAGGCAGGCCAGCCTAAATGTTTCATACTGGCGAAAATGTTCCATTAGGAGGGTCCACGTCTCGCAATCATAGAGAAGGGAGGGAATTACCGTGTCCGAGAAGACCTGAAGCTTCGTGAGGAGCGACAGACCAGGTAGCTTCCACACAGCGTTACGCAACCGATGAAAAGATAATGCCGCTTGACTGATTCGGAGTGAGACCTCTGCTGTCAATCCGGAGCCGGTCCTGAGCACACTGCCCAGGTATGGGAAACTCTCCACGCTCTCCACTACTGCCCCATCACCAATTGGGAGTTGTGGGAGTGGAGTGCCTGATGGTACAAAATACCCAGGCAGGTGCTTAGTTTTGGTGGGGATGATGGTAAGGCCCCACCTCTTAGTGGCACGCTCCAGTCTCAGCAGCAGCGCCTCCAACTCCTCCTCCAAGTGAGCAGCAATTACCAGATTATCGGCATACATAACGTGGTTGAGCAATAGGGAGCCATCCCTTGACCACACCCGGGCATCAATCAGCCTCCCATTGTATCTGTACCAGATGGAAATACAGCGATTGAAGGTTTCACGAACTACGCGGTTGAAATAGATGTTAAATAATGTGGGAGCCAGAGGACATCCCTGTCGCACCCCAAGGTGTACAGAGAATGGCTCCGACTCCCGGCCACGTAGTTTTACCCGGGCCCGCTCACCATCATGAAGGTCCTTAATGGGCGTGAGCAGAGGGTCAGGGACTCCGAAAGCACGAAGAACAACCCAGCGCCCAGGCCTACTGATGGTATCACAGGCCTTGACCAGTTCAATGAAGCAGAGATGTAGGTCTTGTTGGAATTCCCTACCACCACGAATACTGTCACTATCACCACCACTCCTACCACCACCCACCACCACTACCACCAACACCACCACCACCCACCACCACTACCACCAACACCACCACCACCCACCACCACTACCACCGCCGCCACCACCACCCACCACCACTACCACCAACACCATCAACACCACCACCACTACCACCAACACCACCACCACCCACCACCACTACCACCGCCGCCACCACCACCCACCACCACTACCACCAACACCATCAACACCACCACCACTACCACCAACACCACCACCACCCACCACCACTACCACCGCCGCCACCACCACGACAAACCCGTCACTGCTCCTGTTTCTTGTTGCTGTCGCGATACCAGGCGAAGGCGGACAGCGTGCCCAGCACGGCTACCACCGTGCCGCCTGCAGCCCACATGCCTTGCCTCACCTGGTGAGTGGGAGAGAAGGTGGAGGTGGAACAGGGGGAGAGAGGATAGTGAGGAGGAGAGGGAGCACGAGAAGGCAGTCTGTCTCATTATCTGTCTCCTACATCTCTGTCTCTGTCCATTTCTATCTATCTTCATCTCTGTCTCTGTATGACTCTATCTCTGTCTCCTCAATCTCTGTGTATGTCTCCATCTCTGTCTGTCTCTCTCCATCTCTGTCCGTCTCTGTCCGTCCTCACCTGGTCCGAGCGCGCCTCCCCGAAGCGCAGCGCCGTCACGAAGTGTTCGCAGTTGCATCTCAGCACGTCGTAGTCCAGCATCTCGCCCACGAGCGCCCGCGCCTTTCGCAGGATCTCATCGATGGGCAGCGGCCGCCGGCGCCCCTTGTTGTTGACCTGGAACGTGCTCTCGCCCACCACCTCCTTCAGCAGCTCCAGCTTCACCTTCGCCTTGCTCGTGGCCACCGACATGATGCTGTGGGCTCCGTCGATGCCGTCTTCGCCTGACGCGTTGAGGGGGTGGGGAGGGGGGGGATGGGGGGGCACAGTGGAGACTCCGTCTCAGATTCACGGTGAAACGCGAAAAGACAGTTTCGATTTAAAGCTTCTTTCGTGACTGCAGGGATTCGTCTTCTTGGTTCTTTCGGTAAAGTCACGTGGAATGGAAACAATGAAAAGAATAAAATAAAACATAATAAAATAAAATAAAAATAAAATATTATGCTTTATTTTATTATTATTTTTGTTTACATTCTACGTGACTTTACCGAAAGAACCACGGCGGCTAGGAGATGTTGACTCCCTCGCCTGGTGTGCAGGAGGTCGTGGGTTCGATCCCGACCCTGACGATGCCTGCTGCTGTTGTATATTTGGAGTCTGCGTCTCTATCATCATCACGGTGGCTAGGAGATGTTTACTACCTCGCCTGGTGTACAGGAGGTCGTGAGTTAGATCCTGACCCTGATGATGCCTGCTGCTGTTTATGTGGAGTCTGCGTCTCTCTCTCATCATCATCATCACGGTGTCTAGGAGAAGTTGACTACCTCGCCTGGTCTACAGGAGGTCGTGGGTTCGATTCCGACCGTGACACCTGCTGCTGTTGCTGCTGTATATTTGGAGTCTGCGTTTCTCTCTCTCTCATCATCATCATCACGGTGGCTAGGAGATGTTGACTACCTCGCCCGATATAAATTAGGTCGTGGGTCTATCCCGACCCTGACAATGCCTGCTGCTGCTGTATATTTGGAGTCTGCGTCTCTCTCTCATCATCACGGTGGCTAGGAGATGTTGACTACCTCGCCTGGCGTGCAGGAGGTCGTGGGTTCGATCCCGACCCTGACGATGCCTGCTCTGCCCTTGCCTCAGCAGTCCTCTTACAGGCTACACGGGGGACCTTAATCATTGCAGGGGCACAACTCACTGGGTGGCGCGAGGTGAATGACGTATCCGTCGCCGACGTACAGAGCCCAGTGCTGGTAGCAGGTTCTGTTGATCTCGACGAGGTCTCCTGGCTCCAGCATCCTGCATCCAAGAGAGAAGATTCCCACCGCTCGACATTTGGCGACACGTGGAGGAGATGGGGGAAGTGGTGGTGGTGGAGGTGGTGGAGGTGGTGGTAGTGGTGGAGGTGGTGGGGGTGGTGGTGGCGGTGGTGGAGGTAGTAGAGTTGGTTGTGGTAGCGGTGGAGGAGGTGACGGTGGCGGTGATGGAGGTGGCGGTGGTGGCGGTGGTGGAGATGGTGGAGGTGATGGAGGTGGTGGTAGTGGTGGTGGAGGTGGTGGATGTGGTGGTGGAGGTGGTGTAGGTGGTGGTGGCGGTGGTGGAGGTGGTGGTGGCGATGGTGGAGGTAGTGGAAGTGGTTGTGGTGGAGGTGGTGGAGGTGATGGTAGTGGTGAAGGTGGAGGTGGTGGAGGTGGTGGAGGTGGTGGTGGTGGTGGAGGTGGTGGAGGTGGTGGTGGTGGAGGTGGTGGAGGTGGTGGAGGTGGTGGTGGTGGTTGAGGTGGTGGAGTTGGAGGCGGTGGCGGTGGTGGAGGTGGTGGAGGTGTTGGAGGTGGTGGTGGTGGCGGTGGAGGTGGTGGAGGTGGTGGTGGCGGTGGTGGCGGTGGTGGTGGTGGTGGTGGTGGTGGAGGTGGTGGCGGTGGCGGTGGTGGTGGAGGTGGCGGTGGTGGTGGTGGTGGAGGTGGTGGCGGTGGTGGAGGTGGTGGTGGCGTGGTGGCGTGGAGGCGGTGGAGGCGGTGGAGGCGGTGGGGGTGGGTGG